TGATAAATCAGTCCTCCAATGACATAGTGTGTCTTATTGTCTTAGTGTGCTTATCCTTTAGCCCCCAGGTAGTGAGGCTATTGTAAACCAGAGTCAACATATCATTTTGGCCATAGGTCTGTGGTGTTGCAGCTGACCTCTAGGTTAATAGAAATGTTGTCAGGCTTTAATATCGAGTCAGCTATACAGAAAAATATGAAAGAGGAAAGGAGAGCAAGGAAGAGTGATCAAGGGAAAAAATGGTAAGAAAACTTAGATGGGGAAGCATTGTAGTGTATCTATGAATGAAAATTAATAAGCTGGAGGAGGTGGCTGGGGAGAGGGAGGTCTGGGCCTCTTTGCTTAGGCTGCTGCCCCCGCGACCCGGCCTCGGATAAAGCGGATGAAGATGGATGGATGGATGGATCTATCTATCTATCTATCTATCTATCTATCTATGCTTTTAAAAAGAGATTGAGTTATTGAGTTTGAGCAGCACTCCAACAATTTCAAGGCCTTTGATTAAAATTGATACAGACAGAAAGGTCACTCGGTAGCTGTAGTTCATATTCATGTAAGAGGGTGCAATCTGTTAAGCAAAACATGGGTAGTGTGTGTGTGTTTGCATTAGCGATGTATTTATAATCATCTGTGTACACAGTCATGTTTTGCTGACCAACTCCCTTTTAGTGATGAAAAAACATGTCCTCAAAATTTAAAACTACAGGTTTTAAGATTGAGGTTAAAATTCAAAGTGATTTTAAATTTAGGTTACATATGGGTAAGGTTTAGACTTGTGTTTTGATGCAAAACCTTGCCTGATTACATGTCTGCATGCGCCTCTGAATATTCTGTGCCTACATCTCTGCATGTCAAAAGAAAAAAGCAGGTAAGGATTAGGAGGGATGTAAAAGATTATTATCATCTCTTGCTTAACGTTTCAGTCTCTTCCAATCTCTGTCTCCTCTCCCCCTTCCCCTCCTCCTCCACTGCCTCAGAGCCACCGATAAATTATGGATGCTTATTAGAAAAGGGCAATATTCAGAATTCAAAATAAACTCAGTAGCATGAGACATGAAAGAGACACAAACAAAAAGTGCTGATGTGGGAAGAGGAAGAGTTAAAGTCACAGGGGAGCCAGTGGCCAGGTCACATAAACCGACGGTGATCTATTTCATCTGTGTACCATCGGAAGATAATATACTGTAGATCTTCTGTGATATCACAATACAGAAATACTCTATTAAAAGTAAAGCGTTTAAGTTTTTCATCCGAAAGTAGAAAAAACTAGAAAATGATTATAAATTAAATAGTAACTATTGTAAAAATGAAAGCATTTAGAAAGCAGCAAGGTCTGTGTTAGTGTGGTTATATTATTTGGGATTTGGTCAATAATGTATTTTAATGTTTACATTACTTTAATATTGCAACTAGTAAAAATCAGGATGTCATCTTTTCTTTCTTAAATAAAAAAAATTGTCACATTTTAAGTAATTTTAGATTTCGACATAAAGTGGTATAAAACAATACTTCTGTTTTTTGTTTGGTTCTTTAGCGGTGATGGATGTACTAAAGGCAGTTACTTTAGGTAACCAGAGTACTTGAGTAAATGTGTGTATTTAGCTTCCATCATAGACTGCAGTGAATAAAGTTCCAGATTAAAACATATACACAGAGACAGCAAATAAAAATGGGAAATGCAGCAAGCTTTTCATTCAACCTTAGGCAACATCTTCAAAGTTTTGTTACATCTGTGCACACTTTAAGCATATTAACTTAGTTTCTGCATTTCCTGTAGTGCTTTCTTCTGTGGCCAGTGGCGAGGCCTGATTTCCCCAGCTACTGTGCGAGTCTTGCTCAAATCTAAAAAAGAACAAAAGCACTGTTAAGCAAAATCACTGATTTAAGTTCATTAAGTTTCCTGTTAACAAGCACATAATGAAGCATCACATTGCAGCCTAATGCAGTCTGGATTCCATCTACAGCACCAGCTAATGGCTTTGTGTGACTTTGTCGAGCAATCAATAATTTGTTGTCTCTGTGAACTCTGTTATTTCACACAGTGTGATGTCATGCAGTACCACAACATGAAGAGACGCTTTCCCTGGTACACTCTGTCTGTGTTGACTCTTCAGTTTAGAAGTCACATCCTGCCAAACTGCCTCGAAGTTTAATCCTTAAGTGTGTTAAGACTTGCCGCATGTGAATGCCACATCATGCTTGTAATGCCCTTGGATTACAGTATATCCAGATTAAATGAAACTTCAGAATCACTATGTATATATGCAGGAATGTTTGTGAGGAGATGCATATAAAAGGCTTATCCCCCAAGAGAAAACAGAGGAGAGAAGGAGAATGTTTGATAAAAAAAAAGACGTACTATAAATGATCTGATTAAACTTGCATAACAAAGCTTGCTTAGCTGTGACAAAACATATGGTGTGAGGCTTTTTCTTTTTGCTATTAAATACACAATCACATTTTATTGGTGTACTTGTCTGTCCAATTCCAATTTGACGGACAGGTGTTACAAGCTTTTTGACAGACCTCACAGAAGTCCAATCAATACTACACTGCTGCAAGAAAAACAGTGACTGATCCTAAAGTCCCTGCTGAGCCAGCAAACTGTTGCAGTGGGATTGAGTGTGTCTTCTGCACAAGCATATCCCTCTCACACTTGCGCACACCAACACACCCAGAAGTTCACAGGATCACACTCTTCACACACTCGCATACACGAGCACAAACACCTGCATACACAGATTCACAAGCGTGAGCTGATAAAAACGCACACATCCAAAAACACCCCAGAGAAGGCTACAGTAAATGAACCTCACAGCCATCCAAAGCACTGACATCAATCAGGCACGCTTTCACCGTTTGGCTCCCGACGGACGGTGAGTCGCATCTGTCTGCTAGAGCAAGTGCTAAACAATTCCAAAGTGACAGAAACCATTTTATGCATATCTGCATATACAGCATGCCAAACTCGTTGGCACTCTTCCTGATCACCCCTACTTGTGCTGTTTACTGCAATTGTGTAAATTGTGAAACCATTTGCGTTTTCTGAATGACTCTTTTTAGCGACTGTGATTTTCCTACATGAAACAGTTGTTGCACAGGTACGCTCAGCTAAGCAACACCAACACACAATCCACCGGGAATGCTGGGCGTCTGAATAGTGGCCAGTACAATTCCCAAGAAAGCTGTGGGCCTTTTCCTCCCGCAGCGGTGCCTAAAAGGCTAATTTTGCACAAAAGACACATATTCTATAAAACTGGGAAGGAAGACTCTGATAAAAAAAACAACCAAACTAAACAGCGCTGGAGCCTCCACGCCTGCCAGTGACTGCATATCTGCTTCGACCCACTGCATATTTGTGACAGAGCCCATGAGGCTCAGATGTTTCATCAGACCCAGTACATCACCCCGAAGAGAACGCAGGACTGTTTTACACAGTTATGAAAAAAAAATAGATGAGAACAAGAATGCACAAGGGTGATTTTGAGATGTGAGCCTTTAACGGGACCGTGTAAGTAGAACAGAAGTACCTTCACAGGGAGACAAATGTTCAATTTTTTTAAAAAAATGGCAGCCAGCAATGAAAGCACACCTCAAGTTCTGAGTATCTTTTTGAACCATTTTGTTAGAAAAACATCTGCAGCATCCACAAATTTGATCTTTTAGAACATAATAGCGTGCTAATAACAATCACAAGGTAAGGCATACACCTGCGTTTAAAACATGAACTCAGAAAACTGTTTGTGATGGAACTAATAAGTGCACAGATGAGAGAAATTCAGAGAAAAAAATAATAACTTCTGCACACTTCTGGTGATTTTAATCCATCGCCATTACTGTACATTTATAGGCTCTTGCAAGAGCTGAGGGCTGACAAAATATAGATTTTGAAAGCAAAAATCTCAAGTATTTTATTTTAAAGTCAATGCAGTCTCTCAACTAGTGGTTCCAGTTGAAACGTTACAGTGGATACAATAAATCTGAGAATTGTCCGTGTAATTTGGATATAGTTTACACAGATGCTGACATGACAGCCGCAGTGCGAAGTATTGGAGCAGTACGAGTCTGATTAGGAAGGACTTTTATACAGGCCTATATGCTTCAGCAAATGACAGATTGTCAGCATTTCTCAGTGTGAAGGCAGGCTGCGGGATTGCTTATGACAACAGCACTCTGTGCTACAATGACTAAACAGACCCTGTTTTCAATGGCTGCCACATGCCTTCAAATGTCAAAATCAAAGTATCAAAGCTGACAGATCGGTTTGTGTGTTTTTCTTGCCCGAAGGGACAGGAGGATGCATAACTGGCCAGGCGCCTGTCGCTGAAGCAACTGAGCTTCTGTAATACAGTAAACTGCAGTCGCAAGAGGTGACAAATCTCAGCTTTATCCTAAAAAGCATAGAGCGATTGTCCTGTTTAACCTGCCTGACAAAGACGGACCGTATATCAGAGCGCTCTAACTCTGCCTGTGCTGCTCTCTCGTCTTTCTCGCTGTCGTTCAGAGTGCGGGTGCCTCTGTGTGGAGCTGATTCAGTATGTATGGGACAAAGTGTTAACTTAATTCAAGCCAAACTTTGCCCTTTTTTTCATTTTTAATCATAAGCCTTGGACAACTTTAATCTCACTTTGTGTAATAAATCATGTATAACACATGCGTTTGACCATGACGATTTTTTTTTTCAGCCTAAAAATGGAATTAAATTGGATTTACAGTAGCTGGGTTTCCCTTCCACTACAGGGTTGGATGTTTTCCCAGCTTTCCCCTTTTGACTTCCAAGAAGTGAACTCTCCCTTTTAAGATAATTTGTTGTCCATCTCCCTCAGGCTTTTCTCAGGAGTGTTAAGACCAGTTATTGCAAGGCCTTGCTGAAACAAGAGCAATTTGGAGCTCATGACAAGCCTTCAATTACGCTGTTGCTAGCAAGCTCACTCAGTCAGCATAATAAAGCATGTATTGATGTAATAACAGGAATACATAAGTAAATATAAGGCCCTTACCGTAAACTCCTTGGCCCCAGGCAAGAGCATAAACACGAGACAATAACAATATCCAAAAAAGCCCCATGTTCAGCTCAGGTCCGTCATAACCTGAGAGAAAAAGACAAGGGTGAAAACAGAGGCACGGAATGGAACAGCCTGCAAACATAACTATGGAGGATGGAAGAAACGACAACTGAGTGATTGTAATCAAAAAGGAGGGGAAAGATACTTTAAATTGCTTTGTTTTAGTGTTCAACTATGTCCCCTGCAACCCCATAAGCCGTGAAAATAATATTACAGAGCAATTTAGTTCCCACCGCGCAGCGAACCTCGCTTCATTCAACTTAAAGGGCAGGTAATTCAATCACCAATCGTGGATTATAGAAAGCTTACAAGCAGTCCAGTGTGCTGGAGAATTGGAGATTGACAGGATTGTAGATGTCTGATGTTTAGCGTGACTAAACTTCCTCTGTCCGCCCCTCACTGAGGCACAGCGGCGGGCAGGTGTAGTCGGGAGGACAATAAGGTTTACACTGCAGTATTCATGGAGGATTTGCAACAACAAGTGGGGTCGCGCAGACCACTTTAGACCCCGAGACCCACACATATTCCTACAGATCAGTACAGTTGTTCCTACTCTGTCAGGTCGACGGTGGTAGCAGAAATATGCACGTGTTACGTAATTTATTCTGATTTATTCCGATTCATTTTTATCATGCATGTGTATGTATTCATGGAAAATTGTTTTCTTGTTGCACACTGGTGGTTCAAAACCTGTAGGACACCTGAAGACAAGGAATGAAATCCAGCTGAGTGAGGGAATAATGGACCCTCTTAGCTGACTCTTTTGCCCGAACACTGGGGTTTCCTCCGACGCACGTTTGTGAGAGGGCTGCATTCACCGTTCGCATTATAAAGCGCGCTGTAATCAAAGTTTCTTTCTGCGATATAAGCAAGTGAATCCCTGGCATTAATGCTTTGACGGGCACGCATTGCCTATATTCCAAATAATTTAGCAATCCCAAAATCTGAGCGCGTGTAACTAATGATCAACTTTGATAATGTTGGGCACATTTGAAAATACTTCCAGCGTCAATTAAGCGCTCACAAACAGCCAATAAAACATTCTTTAAAAATGAGACAGACGTAATGTGAAGCGAATAGATAAATGATGCCAATCTGACATATATTTTGTTCAAGTATTGCCAGTTCAGCGTTGGGGACAGTGTGCCATCTCTACCTTGTCTCCGAGGTGCCGTCCTTTGGGTCAGTCCGCTACCCAGTACTACGCGCCCTTCTCACGGCTCAGTAACGAGGATTCCTTCGCTCTCCGTTAGACCAACCTCGCTTAGTGTTTCACCACAGAAACAGCAGAAAAGTTTTATATCCTCCACCACTGCGCGTCCAGTAAGAGCTTTAGCTAAAATTCCCAGAGTGGAAATGTTTTTCGAGCTCCCAGACCTCAGAAAGAATCTCTTCGGTGTGTTAAACTTTTATTTTACGCACGGAGAAGTAGTCGACAGAACATCGCACAGCTCGGTTCCTCAGAGTCCCTCTTCTCAAAAATGAAAATAAAACCTCTGTTCCTTTGAAAAACTCAGGCAAGGCTACTTGGGGGAAATCCTATACACTCGGACTGCCTTTTTGTGGATTATTTACTCTGAAAGGCGTGGTTGAAACGCCTTTACTGTCTCTCCCTCTTTGCTTCTGGCCGATGAAAGTCTATGAAGCCCCTCTAACGCAATCATGCGCTCTGAAAATGAGCTTCCCTCCGATAGTTCAATCAGCGCTGTGTCTGTGGACTCCAAGTGATGCTGGCCAAGTGGAATATGTGCGCAGACTGAGAACGACCGCCCCTGTCTGTGTGTGAGAGAGAAAGGGAGAGAGAGAGAGGGATGGAGAGAAGAAGGGGAGGGAGGACAGAGGCTTACACATAGATGCTCTCAAGCCTCACAGCTTCCACACTGAACAGGTTGTCAAAAGAACGCCACTGCTCCCCTCTCCCACTCCCAGTCTCTCACTCGCTCTGGAATAGGTTTTCAACCCTTTGGTAGCAACAGGGTGTTTTTTAACAGCAGGGGAACGCGCGTGTTTTCTTGTTTTTCTCTTGTCGACTATTTCCTGGAGTTTGTCCACTGCTGGTACACGCAATCGTCGATGCCAATTACAGCTGAAGGGCGCCCAGAAAGTTGTTTTTTCTTTTAGCATAATGGAGGAAGCCCGAAAACAGCCATCCCTCTGCATGGACCAATTATTTATGACAGCATAAACAGACCCATTGTTATCCCCGCCCCCCCAACTCGCCTAAGCACGCACATGGTGTCTCTCTCACACACAGATTTACAGTGCCCATTGCCCATCCCTCTATTTATCCTCTCTCTCTCTCTCTCTCTCGTTCTTGTGGGTTCTCAGTGAAGCCACTGGAGGGCGTTTCAGCTCATCGCCACTGTTTGAACGTACGTGCACGTGTGGCATGAGTGTCAGCTGTGCTTGTGCCCGTGTCTGTGTGTGTGCGTGGGGTCCGAAAACAACACGCGTTAAGGGCTCTTGAAGGCAATTTCTGGCCTTCCCACGAACAATGTTGGCTTATCACCAAGCAGCGCATCTGTCTCCATCTGGATTGAATAAAATAGAGACTTAAAATATCGAACACACAGAGTAGAGGCGGCAATTCGTCACGAAAGCAAAGCAACAGCCATCTAATTTCTGTAACTGTATTTATGCAACAAAGCAGCAACGTTGCAATTTCTTCTCATTTAAAAAATAAACTGTTTCACACAAAATGTGGGTGGTGGGCGGGTTTACCTTTTGGTGATTAATCGGGAAGAGTGGGTGATGAAAAGAAGAGGAAGGAACAAGAAACTGCACCTTACACGAAGACAAGAAAAGCGTGGAGTTATTAGGTTTAGAGGGAACTGCGTGTGAGCTTCTAAATGTATAACGCGATATAGTTCATGGTAGAAATATATTAAATCCAGTTTCCGTTTTTCTGAGTCATTTATAATGTGACTAGCTTCGTTTATTCTAATAATTTTGCGTGTGACAGAGAAATAAATTCACACTTTAACCTTGAGGGTTTATGTTGTATGACTGTTTTCTTAATATCTTCTTTAGTCTGCTTAATGGGAAAGATTTAGCAGTTTGAGAATATTGCTTATGTTGTTTTGAAATTTTTTTGAAATTGAAATGTTTATTTCAGTCAACAACAACAGATTATGTTAAGTTTATGGTGAATGTCATTAAATACAAAGCAGTTGTAAATCATTTTTGGAATTATCTTTGGATACAGTGCAACATTTTTCTCTCACAGACCATTTAACTCTCTCACACAAAATAGAAATACTGAGACTCTGCAGTTTGCATTCCAATATTTTGTTTATCTTTATTGCATCTTATTGTTTTTAAAAACTTAATTTATTCACCTATTGTATTTCTGTCATGAAATATAAACATAGCTATTTGTTGTGTGATTTTTTACTCAATTTTCTAATCATCTTTATTATTCCCTATTTAGTTGCATCTGCTAGTGAATAATTTTCATGCAGTTAATCAGTGTGACAACACAGGGTGTAAAACACCGACAATATGTTATGCTAGTAGTTTGTGTTTTTGGCCAGCTAGTCCACAAACACAGCTGTGGATGATATGCTTTTCTCAAAGGTACATTGTTTGTCAAGTCCTTGTTTTTCATTTAACTTAGGAGTCCACATTGTTGCAAAACCAGCAGCCCTTCAGTCAAATGTCCTTTTGTCTAAAGGAAGCCTTGTGAAGGCTCAGAGTAAAAGGCATTAAAACATCAATTTTCTTTGTTACTATACTTTGAATGGCTTATTCACAAAGTCTCTTTTTCTTCTGAGATGGACAATGTTGATTACTCCCACATCATAGTGTGAAATGTATTTGAAAATTCACAAACATGGCATTTGTACAGTGGAGGAAACACTAAAATGTTTTTGTTTGTTTTATTTAACTTCATCAGGCTTTCAAGTGTTTTTCTATAGACTGTAAGTCTTAAATATAGTTGATTTTGGCAGCACAAAAACATATTTGGAATATAGTTTGAGTAAACCGATTAGGGGTTTTTTTCTTCTAGCATAATTATAATACTGATCACTGGGAACAAAGTTGTGAGAAAAACAAACTTTTAACGTAAATTGTTTTCTGCCAAATATGGCAGTAACATTTGTACTCTTCAATCATTTCTGGGCAACAGTGAGCAGTGAACATTTGGGGGTTTTCATCTGACATTCCTAAACAGAATCAAGACACTCAGTAATTACTTTGCACTCTCAATTCAAATGAAACTTTTAATCAGAGCAAACAAAATCATGGGTTCTGGCGCAAGTATGTGTCTCTTTCCTTCCTTCCTTTCGTTTTTGCCCCTCATGTTGGGTTGGAGCCAACAGTCTTGGCATGTCTTGCTGAGAGCGCATCATTGCTGCTTAAGGCAATGAATCTCAAAAGACAACATGTTGTAGGAACAACCTTGGGTGGGAGCCACACAGACACACACAGAGAGAGAGAGAGAGAGAGAGAGAGAAACACACACACAGTAAGTTTTCCATGATTTTAGAGGACTTTACATTGACATTTTCTGCTGAATTAGGTTGAGCACAAACACTATTTACCTACCTGCTAACTAACCTTGATTAACTCGATGCTCAGCCGCAGCTACCACTTGTATTAACCATTCATAACTCTTACATAAAGATAACCTTATTTTGCCTAAAACATGTATTCACTTAAAAACAGATGATTTTATGACACCTTGTTTTATGTCCCTTGCAACTAGGTCCTCTCAAAATAAATAACATATGCACATGCACACATTTGTCCCACCACATTTTTCATTTATTTGTTTTTGTCCGAGAAGGAAGGGTTATGAAATCATTGCAGGTGGTGAGTGAACCAACAAAGAAATTAACTCAGACAACAACAAAATGCTACCACGCGTTCACAACAGGTACAATTCCTACAGTTTTGTTACTTGCATTCAGAGGCAAAATTATGGCTGTACTCTCCAATCAAAAATTATATAATAAAAAAACTAAGGTAGTGATAACCTGAGCTCTATGGCATCAATCAAGAATCATGCCAAAGCATATATTGCAACCTTTAAATTACAGTCTAGTTTTTCAGTAATGGGGGTGGGGAGGGGGTAATAATGAAATACTTCAAAGCTAAATGAACAACGTGCACACCGAAATGCAGTTGAGTAAAGATTCTGGAAAAATGGAAGCTGTTTGCAAGCTGCAATTTCCCAGCTCCCACGGTTTTCTAAGTGCACAAAAGCATCTCCGTTTCTTTTTTAATAACAAAATAACTTGCTTTCTGTAATGCTTTAAATATGTAGGTACAGCACACAAAATCCAGACCTTGCAGAATACTGAGGTCACAATTCGTCATTTAAAACGAGACATAGCAATTCTGTACTTCTGTTAAAAAAAGAAAAGAAAAGGAAAATAAATAAATAAACATAAATAAACACATTCATTGCAAAAACTCTCAGTGGACCTTTGAAAGAAGTAAAAGGCTCACACACTGTTCTTTTTGTGAACAGAACTACAACTGGTAACATCTCAAGATGAATAAAATCCCCGTTGGTGCCTTAAAATGTAGCCTACTGTCTGCCAAAGCTTTTATTTTGGTACCACATCCGAACACCACAGACTGTAATGTGATCTGAGGTGCCTGGTTAAAATTTTTCTGGTATCATGCTCTGTAATTGATGTTCCCATCAGTGTAATTCAATCAGAGCTCAAAGTACTGTATATCAGCGCCAAGCACTTTCCCCACACAGAAACAGCTAAATGGACAGAAAAGATACACTTGAGACCAGTGATAATTTAATTGTGTGTTCAGTGTGTGTGAGTCTGTGTGAGTCTGTGTGTGCATGTGTGTGTGTGTGCGTGCATGTGCCAGACACAATAGAGAAAAGAAAAGCAATATCACTCTGTTAAACTGAGATGTGATAACTGGCATCTCAACTTGACAATGCAACACATCCATACATAAGAGAGTCAAAGTGGATGCTGCAGAGCGTAAAGAGAGGAAAGACATTCAGACTTCAGACATTATATATAAATATTTATAAGTATATTTTTTAACAGTATATGGTTAGGTCAATGCAAAGAATTTTGTTTTTGAATTTCACCAAAAATATTTGTTCATATATATATATTAATATGGGCTTTAAGTCTTAACTTCAATTGGAGAACTTGAATCACAATGTTCATTTAATAATTAAAGAATTACAGCCATTTTTTGAACTCTTTCACTATTATCAATTGATAAACATGGACCATTTCTTCATTATTCTTTCATAAAGCAACATTTAAAAGGTCTTGATATAATTTCAGCTGTGGTATTTGCATTTGAAACCTGTTACCGAATATCACAGATTTACAGTAAAAGGAGCATTTAATGCAAGCAGGTAAATAAGTAAAGTTTATTTATTAAGCACAGGCAAACAGTCACAAAGCACTGTACACCAAAAGAGTAAAATAAACAAGTAAATTAAGTGCCATAATAGCCAGTAAAAGGTCATCCTTAAGCCACATCAACAAAGAAATCTATTAGAGAGAAAGTCAGAAAGTTAGGAGGAGCCAAATAAACAAAATAAAATATATTGAGAAAACCTTTTGGTAACGGTGAAAAACATTCCACAGTCCCAAAAATGGAAAGGCTGGAGAAGACTTTGCAAAAAAAAATCAGAACCGTGAAACTAAGGTCAAGCTGTACCAGAATGACAGGAAGAAAAACGTGTGGAGAAAACTTAGAAGGGCTCATGGTCTGAAGCATACTACATCATCTTTAAAACTCAGTAGATGTATGGGCATGCGTAGCTTCCAGTGGCACTGGGTCACTGCAGTTTATTGATGATGTGACTGCAGACAGAAGCAGCTGGATGAATTCTTAAGAGGACAGAGCTACTTTTTGTGCTTGAATT